CCACCCAGGCGCCCTTCCCATATGTTCTTTAAAAGTGTATCTGTTCTTTACTCCGGTAGGACAATTTACTAATATATTAAGTTTTTTCCCTATAGTTTTCCCTTTCTCAACTCCAAGCGGGTAGCAAATTTTGGTCTTCCTTGCTCTAGGGGAACATCCTGACTTATGGGAGCAGAACCACTAAAAGACATCTCTCTTCCTTGCTGTTCTCTGAAATCCTATACTCTCATCATAGACTAACTAAGCTGGTGGGGCGGGGGGGAGGTAGAAACAGAACCAGGAAGAGGGAAGATTCCTGTGAATAATAAGACAGATGTTGCTAACAACCTCAAAGTCTCTGAACCAGGCATTCTGACAGCTTCTGGGGTGAAAAGGTAAGGACTCAGAGGTATATGATGGGAAGCATAATGTTATATTTTGAAGTTGAGACTAGCAGGATTTGTTAAAGGATTAGGTGTGCAGTTAAAAAGGCAAGAAAGGAATTAAGGATGACACTAAGAGTTTTAGCCTGAGGGACAGAAAGGGGGAGGTTGCACTTACTAAACCTTAACTCCCTTGGGGAAGACTTTTGTAACAGAAAGGTCAGGAGTTTGTGTTCCTACATGTAAGTTTGAGATGCTTTTTAGGCATCAAAGTAGAGATGTTGTATAAGTAGTCAAAAATACAAATCTGGAATTCTGAAGCGGGGGTCTAGGCTTGAGATGTATATGTGGGAGTCATCAATAAGAGAATCTGTGTCAACGAACCCAAGTGATGAAAGCAAGAGGAAGACAGATTCAGCATTAAGGTTTACGATATGGACATCATTGGTGACCTTGACCAAAGCTCTTTCAGTACCGTGGTTGTGAGTCAAAGCCTAGGTTAAGAGACCAAAAAGTGACTGGGACAAGAGAGATTAAAGATGGCCAACACAAGTGAATACAGACAACTTTTTTGAGACGTTCTGCAGAAAAGTTTGGGCAGAGAAATGTTCGTTGGAACATACTGGGAGCTTAAGAAACATGCCATTTTAAAATATGGGGAGAAGTATATCATGGTATACACTGATGGGTATGATGCAGGAGAAAGAAGGGAAGATTTCTAGCTCTTGAGGAGGCGAGAGGTAATTGACTCCATCCGGAGAGGTAATTGACTCCATCCGGAAAAGTGGTATAATTAGTGGTCAAGAGCATGAATTACGGAGACAACCTGCCTGCGCTCAAATCAAACTCCCGCCATTTAACAACTGTGTGACTTTAGGAAAATTCCTTGCCTGTGTACCTTATTTATCTATCTATAAAGTGCCTTTCCATCTGTGAAGTGGTGATACATAGGATGCTGCGAGAAGTAAGTTAATAAACATAAAGGGTTTAGAATAGTGCCAATCACATAGGAAGTGCTCAGGAAGCTTTAGCTGTTATTAGTGCACAAATGGAGAGCCTGGCCTTAGATAGAAGTAGATAGAGCAGATCATCCATAGTTAATAGGAAGGAAAGGAGCATATAAAGGTTTATCTGCGGAAGTGTGTGGGATGCCACGGTGGCAACTTCTGCAAATTTCCTTCTACTTTTTTATCGACATAGAAAGCAAGGTCATCGCGAGTATGAAGTACGTGAGGAGGTGTTATACATTTGAGGAGAGGAAGAGAAGGAAAAGACTGGAGACATTTAGTAAAATTAGTGGGCGAGTTGGTGTGAGTGCTCGTGAATCGAGACTGCAACCATTGAGCTTGGAGTGGCCCAGACATCTAAAGATGATGGCAGAAAAGAAGGTAGCAGGTGATGTATTCTGATGGCATGAGATTCGAAGGAAGGGGCTTTGTGGTGAGGGAGGAGGGAGATTGGCCTACAAGTATCAATAATGAAAAACATAAGGCACCAAGTTCACATCCAGGCCTGGTAATA